AAAAAAAAGCAAGGATGGTGAGCCGCCTTCTGATACTCTGGGCAAGCGACCAGGGGGGAGCAGGCCTTGAAGACAGACATCCTGCCTAGTAAAGCAGAAGGTCAGAGAAAGAGAACTGAAGTTAGGAGTCAGCAGATTTGGGTCAAGCCCTAAGGAGATTATCTGCCATTTTATTTATTATAAAACACAAATAGAATTATTTTTATTAAATCATTCCTTTAAAAATATACGACTAAATACAGATATGTGTTCCTAGTATCTGAATTTGGCGGTGAAAGAGAAAAAAATAAACGTAAAATACACTAATCAGGCCCTCATCAACTTTCACCCAAAGTGCTGCCATATTCTCTGCCATCAGTCTTATCTTATCCTTGCATATGTCACATTGTGGTCAAGTCTTGAAGTCTACTCCAGGTCTGGCAACCTTGCATTGAGTAGATCTGCCCCCACAGGGTTTCTAAGGCCATCATTTTTACAGGAGCCAATTGCTAAGACTTACCTCTCACAGAGACGCCAGTAGAGTCAAGCTACAAACCCTTTGGGTAGCAGTTTAGTGCGTAACCATTGTACTACCAGTATATATATTACTGCCAAATAAATCTCCTATGGCTCAGCTTTGATCAGGGAACTCTTTGTCCCAAAATAGCTTCAATTATATCTAAGATTCCCACATTATGATACAAATTACTTTTATGTCGATTACTTCTTAACAACTCTTCACCTGGAGACTCTGCTACTTAGTGCATGCTATCCTGACTGAAGGGAGCTCCAGCAAGTTGCACTGCTAACCCACAGGCACATTATTAACAACTGAAAACCACCAGTGACTTCTCAGAAGAAAGATGAGTAGAAACTAATCAAAGGCATAAGCAATCCTGACTAAACCATTCCTCCTAAACCTACTTAAGTAATCTGACCTGTTTTTCATGCTCAATGTGTTCTTTCATGCTGTTTTCCCTTCTCCTACTTGAAAAGGGAAATTTCTAAAACTTATGTATTTAAACTATGAAATTTTAAAAAAATGTTAATATTGTACCAGAAACTAAAACATAAGCTTTACATAAATTACATCTCAGAGACTCTTTCAGCCACACTGGGATGATTCTAATTCCTAAAACAGCAACAGCCACTTCTCCCAGAAGCAGTATTACCAAAGACAATCTAAAGAACTCAAGAAAGACAAATACAAATAAAAAGAGACCGATTTCATGAGAACGTCTCCTTTTCTCTCTAGGCTTTACTCTCTTTGTCTTCCTACCAGCTCTTTCTCTAGAAATGGAATGAATATGACTGATCAGAGCCTAATATCTATGGGAGTCCACATTTTACAAAATCAAAGATATGTAAGTTCTGAAGTTTAAGTAATATTCTTATGGTGCATGTAATTGCACTTTAGTGAGTTATTTGATGGGGTTCTTCTAGACTACTGTCTTTGTCAATCACATGGCTAATTTTTTTTTTCATTTTCTACTAGTTTATTTACAAAATTCAAATACATTTTTTTCAAGAACAAATCCTTTCAATTTTCCTCACCCCGAACCCATCAAATTGTATAACCCCATGATCCATCCCCGCCCCCCTCCCCTGCACATCCTCATCCCTCTGCTTCCAACTTCTCCCACCCCTCTTGGATCCTTATACTTATTCTACAATAATGGTTTTATATAATATTTATCCTTGTGTTAGTCCAAGGTATAAAGAGACTTCCAAATACAACCAGAAGTACACAATCTGAAGAGGGTAAAACTGATGCATGGGACTTTCTAAAGATTAAATCCATGTGTGAGTCAAAAACTTTTCCCAAAAGGGTGAAAAGAAAACCTACATACTGGGAACAAACATTTAGTAATACCATCTAAGACAAGAGTCTTATAACAAAGTTTACAGAATACTCCTGGGCCTCCACAAGAAAAAGGCAGATAACCCAATTACAAAATTGGCAAAAGACATGGAAAATATTTTCACAGAGGAAGATATTAGAATGGCAGACAGACACATGAAGAAATTCTCCAAATCACTGGCAATGAGATGCAAATCAAAATCACAATGAGGTACCATCTCACTCCAGTAACAGTGGCAAAGTTTAACAGAACAGCAAGTAATAAATGTTGGAGAGGATGTGGTAGGAAAGGAACTCTTATACATTGTTGGTGGGATTGTAAAATGGTACAACCATTCTGGAAAGTTTGATGCTTCCTCAAAAAGCTGAACATAGAAATTCCATATGACTCAGCTATTCCACTACTTGGAATATACCCTGAGAAAATAAGAACTGAGGCACAAATGGAGCATCATTCACCATCGCAAGAACATGGAAACAGCTCAGATATCCAACCACAAATTAATGGTTTGAGAAATTATGGTACATTCACACAATGGAATACTATGCAGGACGAAGGAACAATGATTTTGTAAATTATTATCTAACTTGGAAGGTACTGGAGAGCATTATGATGAGTGAACTAACTCAGTCCCATAAGGACTAGGGTAAATTCTTATTTGCTGTTACTAGGTGCTGTCAACCTGATGACCTGATGGATGTGAACTTTACCTATCTTGTGCCATTCTCATGATCTCTGTTGTTAACATGCTGTGAGTCGACTGCAACTCATAGTGATCCTATGCACAATAGCTCTGAACCATGCTCTATCCAGAGCCAATCACACTGTTTCCAACACACGTACCCCCATTACCCCAGCTATTGTGTCAATCCAGCTCGTCCTGGGTCTCCCTTTTCTGCGCCATCCCTCTACCCTTCTGAGCATGGTGTCCTTCTGCAGGGCCTGGTCCCTCTGGCAACATACCTAAAGTATGTGAGACAAGAGCTTCAGAATCCTTGCCTCCAAGGAGAAATTTTGTTTAACTCTCACCAGGACAGACAAGTTTGTTCTCTTGGCAGTCCATGGTACGTTCAATGCTCTTCCCCACAACCCCAACTCAAAGGTATCAATTATTCTTCTGTCTTCTGTCACTCTTAGTCACTATCCAGCTCTTTGATGAATTAACAATCAACTGTGAAGACCAGGTTCTGGATCAGGTGCACCTTAGTCTGTAGAGTAACATCATTGCTTTTTAGCCCTTTAGAGAGGTCCCTGACAGCAGATTTTCTCAATGCAATTAGTCTTTTCATTTCCTGCCTGCCTGGTGCAGAGCGTGCTGATTGTAAAAATATGTAAATGTGAGGTATTTATGGTTCACCAAAGAGATTTCACAAAGTTAATCATGTAAATAATGAATAATACAAATGTCTCTTTAGGTGGAACCACACCAATAACATGTGTAAAATGCAAATATAGGGACTGGTAAGTTTTGCAATCCAGCTGTTCTTAAATTGAGCTGGTCTAGACCAGGAAACAGTCCTCAGAACAGTGCAGGGAAACACTGCATGGTTCAAAATCAGGAAAGGAGTGTGTCAGGGATGCATCCTGTCTCCATACCTTTTCAATCTGTATGCAGAACAGATCATTTCGGAAGCAGGGCTTTATGAGGAAGAATATGGCATCAGGATTGGAGGAAGACCCATCAACAACCTACGTTATGCAGCTAACACAACCTTGCTTGCTGAAACTGAAGAGGACCTGAAGCACTTGCTGCAGAAGGTAGTCTTCAATATGGAATGAAGCTCAACATCAAGAAGACAAAGATTCTCACCACTGGGCCCATGTTAGATGGAGAAGAGATTGATGCCGTTAACAATTACAGCTTGTTCAGCTCCACAATCAATACTCTTAGCACCAACAGTCAGGAAATTAAAAGACAATTGCATTGAGAAAATCTGCTGTCAGGGACCTCTCCAGAGTACTAATAAGCACTGATGTTAGTCTAGAGAGTAAGGTGCACCTAATCCAGTCCATAGTCTTTGCAATTACTTACTATGCATTAGAGAGCTGAACAATGACTAAGGATGACTGAAGAAGAACTGATGCCTTCAAATTGTGGTGCTGGAGAAGAGTTTTGAATAAACCATGGACTGCCAATAAAACAAGTCTGTCTTAGAGAGGGTGAAACCAAATTTCTCCTTAGAAGCTAGGACTCTGAACCTCTGTTTCACATACTCTGGGCACATGGCCAGGAGAGACCAGTCCTTGGAGAAGGACATCATGCTCAGAAGAGTGAAGGGACAGCACAAGAGAGGAAGACCTGGATGAGATGGATTGATACAGTGACTGGAGCAATGGGAGTTGGTGTGTTGGAATTAGTTAAACTGGCTCAGGACAGAGCAGGGTTCAGGGCTGCTGCACACAGATCGCTATGGATCACAAATGACTTGATGGAACATAACAACAGAGGCAAATGGAGATCTCACTACAATTAAGAAAGGAAGAACAAGATAGAGTCCCGCATTATCCTTTGTACCTGAGATCTCTGTGTAAACCAGAGAAAGAGGTCTGTGGCACCAGAAAGACGAAATGGGGCCAAGAGGTGGCAACAGAGGTAGAAGCAATAGCTATGGTGGCAGGAATGGCAGAGGCAGCAAAAGTGGCAGAAAAGGGGAAAAAAGATAGATGCAAGACATAACTGTAGGCTTGCAAGAATGTGGAGTGCTGGTAGCAGAGTGAACGTCTTACAGCACTTAGTCAACTGACTCACTGAGCTATAGTCAACTACCATGCCTAAGGTTACTAAGAATGACAGACAGTTGGCAGAGCTAAACACTTTATAATACTTGCCCAAGTGGGCAGAGGCCAAGACCAATACACTGCAGGTCAGAGCATGTGCCGCTCGTAAGCATACCTAAGAAGAGGCTATCCTAACCGAAGAGTTATAACCTGGGTGTTTCCAATCTGAATTGCTTCCCTAATAAGCCTCATAATTGTCAGTACTGTCTTTGAGTTCTGTGTGGCCAATGCAATGACTTATTAAACCCAGCAGAGAATTAGTGAGTACTTTGGGAGAAATGGTGGTGTTAGAATTTTATGAAAAAGGTGTGGCATGGAATGGACATGACTGACCTCATAAAATCTCTGTACAGTTCATGGGGATTCTTACGTCTTGTAAAGTTAGCAAAAGTCAGATACTGCCTCTCCCATATCCCCAGATAGTCTGTAATAGTCATTTTCTGCAGAACCTAGATGAGCCTAATCCCTTATAATAGTCTCATTTCCTTAATACTCTGTGAAGCTAACTATATAAGACAAGTCTGGAAATTTCATAAGGTCTACTCATTCACGGATCTGAGTCAGGGGACAGTACAGTACAAAGAGAGAAGTAAAAACGGTCCTAAGAATCACCAAGTCATGAAGTAAAACAGAGATGGAGTAGCAGAAAGGGCCATAAATAAAAATTCTCACAAATATGTCCCTCCTATATACTGAGAAAAATATATTCATAAGACTATGTCAGATTCAAGAGTGTCTTCATTCTTTTCACCGAAGATGACATTCAGATGGCTAACAAACACATGAAGAAATGCTCAAAATCCCTAGCCCTAAGAGAGATGCAAATTAAAACAACTATGAGATATCATT